CTTTTTTAATATAATCTTTTATTAAAAGTTTTAACTACAATAATAAAAGATAATACAAGCTAAAAGAAAAAAGAAAAATAGAGAGAGTAAAAGGTGTAAGAAAGAAAAAAAGAAAGAAAAAGAAATAGAAAGAGGGGGAAAAAATAAGAAAGTGACTTCCCACCCTCATCACAACAAGTATAAACAATTTCACTTTCTCTTCACCTCCTCTTAATTAAGAGATATAAAACTCTTCATCCCATAACCTAGTTCTTAACTACAGGCAAATCCAGTAAGCAATATCTTTTCCAATCCAGGTGTCAACAAAAGTCCAAACAGAGCCCTAAAACAATAGCATTAGTTACCAAATATAAAACTCACCATTCCATATCTCAACTCTTAAGTGTAAGCACAACATTTTTCTAGTCCAGTTGTCAACAAGTCCAGAAAGAACCACCCAAAATAACATGTCCCATTTTAACCCTGATCAAATAAGCCAAATTTATGTTGCTTCCTTTTGTGTAAAACAATTTTGTTCCTTAATCCATTCAAATGATTATTGACCCTTGTCTCAAGTTTCTTCAAAACGCCTCGTTTGTGAGTTCAGCAAGAAGGAATTATTCCAACTGTTCTCTGGGATTAGCATTTTTATTTTTTTCTTAAATTTTTAAACAATTTTTTAAGAAATTTTTTTAAAGATTTTATTTTTAAAACCATCTTTTTATTTTTATATATATATATATAAAGAAATTCTTGTTTTGTTGTTCTCCACATTTAAATCAGATATGGTTTGTTGCAAATCTTTTTCTGTAACAGCTTCTTCTAGGAACAAACTGTTCATAAGAACGCACAACATAGCTGACATTGTTGATTCAAAGTCCTGGTGTAATTCCTCAAAAATATCTCTGAATGCCATTATAAGTTGCTTATCTTTTTACGTCTCCAATATTGAAAAATCCATGAAAATGAATTTATTCTTTAAAATTAATTTCAAAGTATTAATATTCAAAATCAAATATTCCATTTTTTTCTGAGCCCTCAATCTGTTTAAAACTTTCTGTAGCCAAAACCTTGTCTTGCTTTTTCCTGTTTATTTTAAATTCTTAAAGCTTATAAAGATACAGTTTCATTTTCTTATATTAAGGATTGAAAGCACTCATCT